AAAAAAGTTAGTCTAAGAAAAAATGAAGAAGAAAAATGTTCTTTCAAAGGCTCTGTTTGAATTGCAAAAGTTAGACATAAGATTTGTGATTATATCAGGCTATATAGTTTGCTTCTTTTATCCTGGTTACACTGGTTCTTTATAATGACTGGTAATGATGTTAAGCTGCTTTTTTAGGTAGATCATAATAAAAATACCATGTGCTAATCTGCAAAGGATTTAGTTCTAGAAAGGGCATCTGGTTATAAAAAATTTTTCCAACTTTTATTATGTCATATTCAACTATAAAAATGACATCATATATATATATATATATATATATATATATATATATATATATATATATATATATATATATATATATATATATATATATAAACAATTTAAAATGTATTCTACAAAAAGAGTGCTCAATGTTCTTAAAAGAACAGAACAATTGCAAATTAGTAGAAAATCACTTAGCAAAATTTTTTCTCATTTAACACTGTGTTTCATCAATAAAGACTCATCAGAAATGCAAATGAAACACAGTGTTAAATGAGAAAAAATTTTGTTAAGTGATTTTCTACTAATTTATATATATATATATATATATATATATATATATATATATATATATATATATATATATATATATATATATATATATATATATATATATATATATATATATATATATATATATATTATATATATATATATATATATATATATATATATATTATATTATATATATATATATATATATATATATATATATATATATATATATATATATATATATATAATTTATGTCTAATGTCTATACTTCTACGCTTAAGTGGTTGAAACAGTTTCCATGATGTTATTTTTATAGTTGAATATGACATAATAAAAAAAGTATATATATATATATATATATATATATATATATATATATATATATATATATATATATATATATATATATATATATATATATATATATATATATATATATATATATAATTTATGTCTAATGTCTATACTTCTACGCTTAAGTGGTTGAAACAGTTTCCATGATGTTATTTTTATAGTTGAATATGACATAATAAAAAAAGTATATATATATATATATATATATATATATATATATATATATATATATATATATATATATATATATATATATATATATATATATATATATATATATTAGGGTGCTCTGAAGAATTTAAAGTCAAAATTTTTTAGCTCCCTGGATATTTTCCCATTCTTTTCATCATAAAATATAAGAAAAATTATACTTTAAGGTTTAGAAACAACAGTAAGCCTTGCCACCACAAAGAAAACGTTTTTCATATTATTTAACATTGAAAATACTACAAAAAAACTGTAACATTGAAAATATAACAAAATTTTTTTTCAAAATTTAGAAAAAATGTTGATATGTTCATTTAAACAATGAACATAATGAAAAAAGTTCAGTAAGGTTATTTAATAAGATTATAGTAAAGTATAGTATAGTAAAGTAAGTAAAGTATAGTATAGTATATAGTAAGGTTATTTTATAAGATTTAAATATGCTAAATTAGTACTGATGTCTCTAAGAAAAAAACAGTTTTTAAATGTTTCCCAGGGTTCCTTTTTTAAAATCTGGTACTTTGTGTCTGTGTTTTTCAATAACCTGTAACAAATATTGTTTCTGTATTTCATCTTTAGTTAAAGTGTTTGCAAAGTCTGTGATGAGTTTCATGGCTCTTTCAGCAAGATCATTAACAACTTTTGCATGACGAATAAACATTGCTGCTTCTTGAAAATCACTACTTGTTTCCCACTGTGCTGGCAGCAAGTGTAACCAGGCAGTTTCAATTTTGAGTAGGTTGAACAGGAGCCAAGATTTCTTGCCAATCAAATGTACTAATTTTGTGGATGAAGCCAACTGTGGAAAAACTGGTACTTCTTTATCCATTAGCATGTCTTTCTTCACTTTGATAAGTTGTCTGGCTATTTGTTTCTTTTCCAATTCTGGCACCAAACTTAAAAAAAGAGAAAATGTAGCAGTTTCTTCGGTCAGATACCACAGATGCCTGTTCAGTGCAAGAATGGTCACTTCACCAACTTCTGGATCAGCTTTCTTTAACTTGTGAAGATCATGGTATAACTGGAGATCATTTCATAATGCATTGGCTGCAAAAGGGGTGGCTAGCCATGCTTTTACGTAGAAGAGTGCATTAAATATGCAAATACAACGCAGTTTCTCCATTTTATCTTGATCATAATTCAGCTGGTCACCAAAGACATACATCTTAGCACTATATAAAACAGTTGCCATCCATGATGGTTTGCAAAGGTTTTAGCCAGTGCACCCCACAAGGGGGCATTTCTCCCAAAAGTATTAGCATGAGTTTTGAACATTCTCTGTAATCATCACGAGGCAAGCTGTCACTGTCAGCTGAAGTCAACATTTGTTGACTTCAGCTGAAAATTAACAATAAATTTGCAAAAAATTAACAACTTTGTTTTTCTGCTGTTTAAGACAACGATCAGAGATATGTAAAATTTTAAATTTTGATCAATCTTCAATGGTTTCCCAAGGTTTCTTAAATTCTTTCAAGCAAAATAGAAAAGCTTCTTGTCTAGCAACGATTCCAACTGTATGCATGCACCATTTTTCCACCTAGAATTTGATGCTGTGGTATCAAAAACTAGTCCAGCAGTTGACTGTTCTACCTTCCACCGAACCACAAGAGAATGGCTGGTGTTAGCCATAGTTGCACCAGTTCCATCAGAGATTTCTGGAACCCCAAGTAGTTTACCTTCTTTAGAGTTTGGAATCCCAGCTATAAGAACACCTAGCCAATCAGCATCCTCTGGAACAATTTTTCCATCCCAATGTAATGTAACATACTTTGGGAAAACAAATGTAGTTTCAATTTCATCCCCCATATTTTATTCGAAGTTTTTTAGCTGTTGTTCTGCTGCTTGTTTTTGGTAAAGTCACACACTGCAAATCAGCACCACTCTCTGAAATTATAGCTGCCATGGAAGCTGTTCTTTTACCAGCTGATAAATTTAAGTGATCTGCCATTGCTGAAATTTTTTTACTTTTGAATGGATTGAGTGGAAGAGCCAGTGTAATTAATCTGTTTTTATCAGGTTGGATATTTTTTGGTTTTGTCGCAGATTTATGTGAGTTTTCAAAATCTTCATCTTCAGAATTGTCTGAACTGCTTGTAACTGTGACACTAGAGTCATCTGCAGATTGCAAGTCTACTTCAGGACGTATAGTTTCAGGTTTTGTGCTTGTTGTTGCTGAAAGATTTTGTCTTTTTTCTTCAACCATTCTTCTTGTCATTTCAATTCTCTCTCTCTGTATTTTCTGTGTAATTTTCCTTTTGTATGCTCAGTCTTCTGATCCCAAAATAACTTGCTTCTGATCTCTAACTGCCATAAGAAATTCAATGTTTTCTTTTTTCTGCTCACTATCACTAAGTCGATAAGTTTCTATTTTGTTTTCAGCATCTTGGTGAGCAATATAAAAATTATTTTTCAGATCATCAACAAACAGTTTTTCTTTAGCTTCATTAGATTGACATCCTTTCTTCTTTTGAAGCGTTCTTTAAGCATCATACAAATCCAAAATTTTTGCTTTAACCTTGTCTTTGCGTTGAACTGCAATTCCAGCTTTATCCCATTGATTTTGAATTTCTGCAATAACCGTGTTTACTATAGCACCATTACAGTTGACATGTTTAGCATGTTTCATGGGTCCATCTTTTATAAAAAAAAAGAAACACATGACATCTCCCTTTGATGGAATTCTTGATGGTAACAATTGAGTTAATGGTTTTCCTAATAACCAGATATCAATGTCTTTTCTTAAAACCGGTCCATCCATAATTGGGTTAAAGCGATGAATAGCGTCCAAGTAAAAAAGTGCAATACTTAAAATTTAGTTTCATCTAATATCTTTATTAATCTTTGATAATTTACCTTAAAATAAAAATAAATGATAGTATAAAAGAGATTTTAAGAAAGATATTATAAAAATAGTTTATTAAAGGATAATATACATATTAAAATATTATTTAATTATCAATTAAAAATTATTATTTATATGCTTTATTTATAAATTATTTATTTATTAATTTATATTATATTCATATTATAATTATTTTGTATTATTTATGTAATAATTGCTAAAAATTTGTGTCAAATTTACGTAGCGTACGTAAACATAACATATCATAAATTTACGTAAAAAAAAATTTCAAACTTTTAATTTTTTGGGAGCTGGTGGCAAGGCTTAAACACTATTAAATTGCTTGAAATTTGTTTACTTATTCTAAAATAGATAAATGAATGGGAAAATCAACAGGGATCAAGATTTTGAGAAAAAAAATTTTCACTATACATATATATATATATATATATATATATATATATATATATATATATATATATATATATATATATATATATATATATATATATATATATATAAATATATATATATATATATATATATATATATATATATATATATATATATATATATATATATATATATATATATATATATATATATATATATATATATATATATATATTAATATGCATCAACAAAAAATAATAATAGTAGAAAAGCATTATGGAACATTTTATTAGGCAGACTCTTAAAGGTTATTTTAAAAGTCTTCAATATTTATACTTATTAGATAATCTAATAAGAGTTTCTAGTTTTACAAGTTATCAGGCAAGTTTTAATTTCAAATTAAACTTGGTATATATTAAATATAATATCAATAAAGTATTTATAATATCTGGATTATCTATTATTCAGTTAATTTTATTTAAAAAATATTTTTCAACACATGTTTTTGCTTTAGCAATTACTTGTTGTGCAATAAAAATTGTTCATTGGTTTTTCTACATTTGCAAAAATCACCTAATGGTTTTTATACCCTCTCCTAAACATTTTACCTTCATTATAAATCTATCATTATCATTACATATTTTTAAGCAATAATTTCTTTTAGAAACCAAATGGAATTTTTGCATTACTGGAAGAAGAGAGTACTTGTCTGCAGGCAGATGATAATACTCTTTTATCTAAGTTTAATGCTTATTGTTATACCAACAAAAGTTTTATATCTATTAAAGAAAAAGATCCACAATTTGCGATCATTCATTACGCTCAAAAGGTGAGCTTTTATGGTTTTTACGATTGTTATTGTTTCAACAAAAAAAAATTCCAAATTTTATATTTCTGAACAGGTTCGCTACAGCACAGATGGATTTCTTCAAAAGAACATCAATCATCTTGATGGCCATATTATTCAAGGTTTGCAAGGTATTGTTTTACTGCAAGGTATTGTTTTACTGCAAGGTATTGTTTTACTGTAAGGTATTGTTTTATTGGTTTTATAAAATGAGTATTTAACTAAGAATGAAACTTTTTTGGTGACATCATACTGAAAAAATCAACTCAGGGTGGTGGCAGGCAATGTCTTCTTATGTTGGACATATATTTTGAATAATAATAATTTGAATTAAAAAAAAAAATAATAATAATAATAATAATATATAACACACTGTATTTAGCATTCCTAAATAAATTATGGAAATATTAACATTATTTCTACAATGTAGTGACACTCTCTTTTTATCAAGAAATGTATGAACTGAAGCTTCTGCCAGCAGGCTACAGTATGGTGTCAGATTTCAGTATAGCGTCAGACTGGCAACCTAAACACACATTTATTGATGATGTTTTCTATTTTCAAAAAGTTTTATTTATCCATTTAATTAAATACAATATATGCCAATTTTTGACAACCTGATGCCGAACTCTAACATTTTGACCTCATTTTTACTTACTCCCTGGGCTCTTTTTCAGTATTACTATGCCCATACTTTGCATCAGTCAAAAACCAAAGAAGCATTACACATTATGTGGGAAAAACCTGATCTTAGTAAACAGGTTTTTAATTTCACGCTTTCACTCCACTCTAATTCATTTTTCTATTACTTTATGACATATTTATTACACTATTTATTACATTATTACATTTTCCATTATTCTATGGCGCAGTTTTCACAACTTTCATGTTTTCTTTTGTTTGACTAACAAATAAAATTTGTTTATTTTTGCTATTTATTAAATAGTTTTTATATTTAACAGTTTTATACTTGAAAATTTTTATTGTATAATCGAAACATGTTGACTTATTACAAAATTTGTGCCATTATGACCATACAGTATGCAAAAAAAATAATCATACACTTAAAAAAAAATCATAATTTTAAAGATTGCATCAAAAAAGTAAGTTGTCCGATAAAATGTTTGTAATTTTTTTTTAGATATCTTATCAAGTATTGTTTTGAGAATTTATTTGTGTATTGGTGAATTAGTTGCTTTTCATACCTATTGATATATATATATATATATATATATATATATATATATATATATATATATATATATATATATATATATATATATATATATATATATATATATATATATTTATATATATACATATATATATATATATATATATATATATATATATATATATATATATATATATATATATATATATATATATATATATATATATATATATATATATATATATATGTATTATTGTATGTATATATATATATATTATATGTATGTATTGAATTTTACACAATTGATCTAATGATGCATAAAATTGACTGCAAAAAAAAAAATCTTACGCTGACAAAAAAAGGTTAAACAAAAAAAGTTATTTTAAATTGAGCGAATTAAACAATCACACTATTTAGTAAAATTGAAAATAATTTTTTAAATACACTTTCGTTCTAGAAATAAAATATAGTCTTTCAGCAAAATGGCGTCAAGAAAACAACATTTGTTTTTCCATCAGCGAAGTTTCATAGTTGATTGAAAATTCAAGGAAAATCCTACTGTCAGATCCAAAAAGAAACAGAAATTCTTACGACAGTGTCCTCAATTGTTAAGAAGCATAATCTGATTGCAACCGTTGCTAGTATGGCTGGCAGAGGACAAAAATACGAGACCACCAGTGCAATTGATTGCAAAATCATCATTAATGTCAAGAAAAATAGATTTGTTTTGGCAGCTAAATTAGCTTTAAAAGTTCAAGAAGATCACAATATCACAGTAACCCCTCAAACAATTAAAAAATGTATTAAAGAACAAGGATATAGAGGTAAAGTAGTTCAAAAAAAACCTATTTTGACTGCAAAACAAATAAAACGTTGATTAGAATTTGCAAAGAAGTACGAAAATATGCCGATATCATATTGGAAAAAATTTTGTGGTCAGATGAGTCTAAATACAACCTCGTCTCATCGGATGGAGTTCAAAAAGTGTGGCGAAAAAATGAAGAAGCATATAAATTAAGTTGTTTGCGAGGTAGTGTAAAGCATGGAGGAGGAAATGTGATGGTTTGGGGTAGTATGAGTTGGAAAGGATGGAGAAATTGACATTTATTGATGAAAAAATGAATTTTTTAATGTGTTGTGAAATTCTCAAAGCCAACTTGCGAATATCTACTAAAAAATTGAGAATGGAAAGCGATTTTTTACTACAGCGGGATAACAGTCCAAATCATACCACTAAGAAAACCGCCATAGAAAATTTGTGGCTGAAATTATTGCATCATCCTAAAACTACAAATGAAATCACATTATTGGACATTTGCAAAGTTAATTTTTAATAAATATAGAATAGAAGTCAAAATGAAGTATGGTGTATTGGTCAAGCTACAGCTGTGATCACAGGGAACAAATTGCCATCTAAAAGATAAGTCTTACAAACTTTTTTTCTTTAAAAGTAACAATAATGTAAGACGAAGGAAGGTCTGTGACAAATCAGGTTCCCGACTTTTAGCAAAGAACTAGAATTCCATCAAAGCAATGTTATTATGTTATAACACATGTTAAAAAAATTGAGAAATAGGGGAAGCTGAAAAAGAATAAAGGCAAAATAAGAAGTAACATGTTTGACATTCACAGATCTAGAATGTGTTTGACAGTCACAGATTTAGTTTTGAAAGAATCAGACTTCTATTAGAGTACTGATAATGAAGTAGATGACTTTATCTCCATCCACAAAGAAACTAAAACTGAAAAAGAAGTGAAGAAACAGAAAAAAAAGCAAATGATTACTCTAATTCCCAATTGTTCTGGTTTCTTGGTTTTGTCTACAACTTGTTAAGGGTTAGTTGCCCATTCAAAAATTAGGCGCCAATATTGAACATTTCTCTATATCATATGAATCCTTTTGATGTCCCCTTATTGAAAATTGTAAAGAAGTTGTAAAATAATTTTTTTTTCAGAATTTTAACTACAGGCTCCATTAACTTTACATTGGGACAGAAAACTGTTATTCAGTTTAAACAGCAGAGATATAAGTCCCAAAACGTGATAGAGGCAACGGTGAACAAATGAGTTATGCAACTGAAGAAGCTTTAAAAGATTGGAACATTTCATATGACAAAATTGTGGCACGTTTTAATGCTACTTCAAGCAACACAGGTTGGTCAATATTGTTAGATGGTCTTTATTATACACAGCCTGTCGACACCATGTTCATGAAGTGATTTTATCCAATGTTTACAAAACTTGTTTTGGATCATTTTCTGGTCCAGAGGTTGTTTCAACAATTTTGTGATCAGTGGACTTCTGAATCATAGGTCTTAACTGATGCAGATCTCAAAGTGTATGGTTCACTTGTATCATAAGCAATAGAATTTGCTGCAAATAAAAGGAACAAAACAATCTTCCAACGATTACAAGGAATTTTTGCAACAGTTGATAATTATTTTAAGAAAAAAAAAATCCAGGGTCAAAACAGAACTTTTCACATTCTGGTACTATGCACCAAGTATGATAGATGCCGAAAGCACTTTACTCTATTAAAATTTACTCCTTGAAATGACTTGACAGTGATTAAGAAATTGAATAATTTCAAAATATTTGACAATAAAGTGGCTAAATCTGCAATAAAAGTTATTGCAGGAAATTTATAGTATTTAACTAAATACTTTGCGAATCTCTCTTTTTTCAGCAAGGATGTTGCTGATGAAAAAAACAAACTAAAGAAAAAAAAAGACTTTTAAGTTAAAGAAACAATCTGTTTTTAAACCTGGAGTCCTTATGTATAATGGCGGCAAAGACTCCATGACTCTGGGCTAAAACACAATATAAAATATGATTTTTTATGTTGCATGCCGCTGAACATTTTTAAAGCTCAAGTTCCTTTTAGGACTCCACATTCTTGGTGTCATCTTTTATGCATAAGAATATTAAATGACTTATACGAATATTAAATGACTTATGAGGAATATTAAATGACTTTATACGGTTAGCATATCTAGTTTTAAATAGTGCTTTAAATAGTGTTTTGTTTATTCCGAATTGATTGGTTAAAGTGTGAGCAGAATGATTGGAACGTTTTTGTTTTTAGTTTAATAATTTTTTATTTTGTTAAAGGGCAGGTATACTTATTAAGTTGGTTTAAGGTGAAATTTTAATGTTGTTAAATAAGTTGTTTATAATATGACAGTTGTAACTTATTTTTATAATTTTTTTATGGAACTTGTAATTTATAGGGAAGTATTTGTTAAGGGTAAAAAACTGTTTCTTATATTAGTGCTAACATTTTTGCTAAAAGTTTTATGGTTGTTTTGATTTTACTAATATGCTTCACTTATCATAGTTAAAAAAAAATTTTTTGTTACCATAATTTTTCACTCTTACGCACACACAAATGCACACACACACATGCACACACACACAAATACATATCAGCAAATGAATGCTTTTTTTTTTGACAGATTCAACAGATGCATTAATTAGTACTCTTTTTACATCAACAATATCAAAATCAGGGCAACTACTATACAAGTAAATTTTTTTGATATTTCAAAATTTTAGTTAATTAAAAATCACTTGGTTGTTTGTGTTTTTTTTTTTTTTTTTTTTTTTTGTTTTAGATTGTTTTGAATTTTTTTCTTACATTATTTATTTGTTCACTCGTCATTTCAATACATTATTTAAATTAAACCATGTATCTAAACTTAATTAATGTAGCATCACTAATTAAATTTAACAATAGTTAAAAAAACTAAATAAGTTTAACCATAGTAACAATATTATCATTATGCTTGTACTAGCAAAAGGGAAAAAGTCAATGATTCTGTCTTTCTTATATTTTAGTAAAAAAAATTAAATTAAGGGAAATTTAATTAACAGAGGTTTAACTTTCTAATGAAACTTAAAACTTAAGGTAATGAAACTTAAACCTTAGACTTAACGTAGATTGTCATACATAGATGCAACTCAATCCAAATTACAGTGGATTGAGTTGCTTTGCTGTGATATAAAGAATGTATTTGTGCTAAGTTTAAACTAACATGAGAAAAGTTAAGAGTACTAAAAGGATGTAAATAAAAACAAAATTATTATATATACAATACACATGCAAACAAACAACATATGACATTTATTTAGGTAAACAAACAAATATGATGTTCATCCAATCAAACACATTTGATATTTATTGTTTGTAAACAAACACACTCACATTTTATCATGTGTAAGCAGACACATTTAATAATTATTGTGTGGCAGATCTTTCATAAAAACTTAAAGTATTATAAAAACCAGAACAGTATTTAGATTAAACTTAAGAGTAGTCTTAACTTTTTAATAGCAGCCAACTTAATTAATCAAAGCCAACTTAGAACCAATGAAATTAATCAAAGCCAACTTAGAACCAATGAAATTATTCAAAGCCAACTTAAATTAATCAAAGATTTATAGGCTCTGACTCTCAAAAATGCAACTGAATCACCCAACATCAGAAGAGTTCTAATGAATGAGCGATCTGCTTTACATACAACACATTGTGCCAAAGACAGTAAAAAAGAACAAAGGTGGAAGTTAAAAGCTTTGAAAAGGTGAGAAAAATATAACAAAAACTTTGATCCATTGGTAAGAATTTATTTTGATGGCATATTGTATGCCAATAAAAAAGGATCTATTAATTCCAACAGCGTTATCATTTTTATAAAATTTAATTTGTTGTCTCATATTATATTTTTTGTTTTTTCTTATTATTTTTGTCATGTAGTGTTATATTTATCTAAAAATTATAAAAAATATTTTTTTATACTTTTCAAACTAGAAAATAATAACAGAAAAAAAAACTAGATGCAAACTGATGTGCTGATGTTTATTAAAAACTGCAAAATTATGGTGCTGATGTTTCTTAAATCAGTAGAATAATTTTAACGTAGAATAATTTTAACATTTAAAATTTTAATTAAAAATTTTTTTTTTTGTCCAAGTTAAGTTACAAAATTTAAATTTAAAGTTAAGAATTAAAATGTCTGTTGAAAAGTTGTTGTTTGCTTGCAAAGGAAAAACCAAAAGATTTTTTTATTAAACCAAACCAACAAATAGGTGCACCAAAGCAATAAATGCTTTTTTGCTTCTTGCCTTTTTAATAATTAAATTAATATTTTTTAAAGATAATTAAATGAAAATTTTAAATTACTTTGGTGTTTGTTTTTTTTAATTATTCAAATGTTTTTTTAATTTAACTTTCATGTATTTAATTAGATTGGGTTCTGCAAAACAATACCGTTTTCAAGGTGATTTACAAAAGCAATTAGAAAAAAAGAAAAAACACAGGTTATTTTGTTAATAAATCTTTTTTCTGAAAATGATTTTGACTTGCTCAGGAATAATTTTAAACTTTTATAAAATAAATAAATAAAGATTTTCTATATGAAGGTTACTATAAAATCACACTTTTTATATAGAATTGAACAGCAACATAAGTTTGGAACAAATAAAGCAAGGTAATTATGTAAATATATTGTAAAAAAATATAAAAGAAACTTAAAGTATTTTACAAAAAATACTAAATTTGCATGTTAGTCAGTCTTGTGAAACTGTGTTATCTGGGTATTAGTCAGCCTTGTGACACTGTGTTATAGGGGTATTCTCAACTGCTTATGAAATTAAAGTTCTCGATTTAAAATTAATAGTAATAAAAAAAAATTTCAATTATTTATTTATGAGAATTATTAATACAAGGTTCTAATATAATTTTATTTTTTGATACCAATATACTAATTTGATAAAATTTAATTATTTAATTATTACTAAATTATTTAATTATTACTAAATTATTTTAATTATTACTAGATTATAAATAATTATTTAATTATTACTAAATTATTTTAACTATTACAAAACTTATTTTAAATTCGTTCTATAAAATAATTATTGCTAGTGTTAAAAACCTTGATTCATATCTGATTAAAAAAACCAACTTCACAGAGAAAATACAAAAAAAAGGAGAAAAAAAAAGTTGAATTTGGGAGTATTTTTTGTGTTTAATGTTGTTATCCAAAACATTTTTGGCCCATTAAAATCAGTTTTCGGGTTATTTTTTTTTGTGTATAATGTTGTTATCTAAAACATTTTTAGCCAAAAAATTTTGGGTGACGAAATCATTTTTGTCAATGTTTTTTCAAGGTTTTTTCCCCAAAATTGAAAAATGCATTTAAAAAAAAATGATTCAAAAAAAATCTTAAATGCCTAGTATTTAGAAGTAGCATCATAAAAACACATAAAAATGATATTATAGTATAGTTTTACTTATCTTTAAACTAAAGTTTTTCAGTAACAAAAAAACTTTAAATTATTATAATTTATGCCTGCCATATTGTGTTGTTATTTATACCATTATGTAGATAAAAGTGTTATATCTATTCATTTAACATCTTGCTACAGCATCTGTTAAAATAATTTAGTCAACGGGTGACGAGTAAAAATATTTGATCTAACACATGTTAGTGATACCTACATGTCAAAGCATTATCTTATTGTTTAGGATGCTAAAAATTTCTCTTTAAGAATAAAAAATACATGTGTATTCTATATTCATATTAAAAAAATGGATGAGGAGGGAGTGGGGAGGAGAATAAAAAATACATGTGTATTCTATATTCATATTAAAAAAATGGATGAGGAGGGAGTGGGGTGGAGAGAACAAGAGTTTTCAATATAAGATAAATGATGAAATAATTTTCATTCTGGCTAACATCCTAAAAACTTAATTACCATTTAATATAATAATTAATTTGGATTTTTTTAATTATTTCCCTTTATCCAAAATAATGCACTTTGAATTTTTTAAATGATTAAAAGCTCTATGCAATTAAATTAATATTATAATATAATACAGTTAAAATGTTTATTGTAGCAAAATAATTACATGATTTGATAATAGTTACATTAAATTAAAACTTCACACTTAACAAACGTTTAGCACATTTACACGCACACACATTTACACACATACACATTTACAAGCACACACATTTACACGCACACACATTTACATTTAATGTGTTTTAATCTACCTTTACATATATATAACATATATGTATCTTAATACTTACTTAACATTTTGAACAAATCATATTCTAAACATTTTTTTTCATCCAGATTTTAAAATGTCTTTATTTGCTTTATTTGTGTAGTAGAATTAAGTTGAAAAAACACTTGACTGGAATCAAGGAGGTAAAATCAAGCAATTCTGCAGCATTGTTTCGGGTAATAATAATTGATATATTTTTACAATTAGATAAAATACTTTCACTAAAAAAATTTTAAAGTTTTTATTTTACATTTATTTTTTATAAACAAAACATTTTTTGGTCTTCGACTACCTGATTATTCTTGATTTACTATTCAAAAAAAAAAAAAAACTGGGAGTAATTTAGCAGTCTATATAATTTTTTAATGAAATTTTTTTAGCAATCCACATAACTACATTTCAAAAACCTGATACTGTATTTTAAACAGTATCTGGTTTTTGAAAATTTAATTATGAAAATTAAATCATTATATATATTAATAAATTGAAATATTTTAATAAATTGAAAGGTGGTTTTTCAAAAATGTAATCTGGTTTTTGAAAATGGTTTTAAATTTTTTGACTTTTGATTGATGATGATTGACTTTTGATTGATGAGATGATTGATTTTTTTTTTTTTAATTTTATTTTTCTTATTCACTCCCAACAAGGCTGCAAGTAACCATCAATAAGTTAGGACTTACTGGTTAACAAAGAATACAGTTAAAGAACAAGGAAATGGTTGACAAAAAAATTGATAAGTTGTAGGTTGTAAGAATCAGGAAAACATGAAGATGGTAGAAAGTTCAAAAGTTAGCGAATTATGAACTGAAAACCCCAATGAAAGTTCAAAAGATTGTAACAAACAAAGATTGATTACAAACTTACCAGATGTTAACTTTGCAATCAATTGTATATATCGCTTCTATGAGTGGTCAGTAGGGATTGATATTTCAAGAAGACGCAAAGACTCTGTGAGAGGGTTGTCATTCATAAATATAGTAATGTCAATAGTATTGTGATTGTTGTTTGCAGTAAATGAGTTTTGTTGGAGTTAAAATTTACAAGCCACTGCAAACTCAAACCTGTTAGAGAAGTGAGATCAGATCAAGATCGGCTGTCTGTTCTAAGCAATCAAAAAGATAAAACTTTTTGTCTAGACAGGAGCATAAAGTTGAGTCACCAGCAAAACAGACCCACTTTAGATGTAAGGTTGCTAGGAAGATATTTATTTATTTGCAAGTGCAATGGATACAATAAATTTGGATACTAAAATTATCATTCAAGATACAACAAAGAATTCAAAAGTACAAGAAACATAAAATCCGAAATTAGAGAATTATTTTCTTAAATACAAAGTTTATTAATAAAAAAATGGTAGTTCTAATAGTAAAAATGATTTTGAAAACATTGATATCTATAATATATATATATATATATATGTATATATATATATATATATATATATATATATATATATATATATATATATATATATATATATATATGATATATATATATATATATATATATATATATATATATATATATATATATATGTATATATATATATATATATATATATATATATATATATATATATATATATATATATATATATATATATATATATATATATATATTTATTTATAAATTTCCAATTAGACGTACCTTTGAAAAACTTTCCCACTAGGCATACTTTTGAAAAACTTTTTAACTAGACGTACTTTTGAAAAACTTTTCTGTCAATGTTAGAGACCCATTAAATGTTTAAGGGTCTTGAGGCACCCCTAAAATTATTTTTTGTTCAAAAAACTTTTAAATCCAGTGTTATTTTATCATATGGAAAACATTAAGGTGTATGCTGCTGAAATTTTTTTTAAATGTTTTTTTTTTTAAATATATATATATATATATATATATATATATATATATATATATATATATATATATATATATATATATATATATATATTGATTTATGTAGAGTTCATTGGTTAATCTGATGGAGAAGATATTAGTTAGCGATGCCCATTTTGTAAGGTTTGTCATATTTGTTCATATTTTGATATTTTTTGTTGTATCATTTTTGTCAAATTTGTTAATGATTTGTTATAAAAAAAATTGCATTAATTTGCATTATTTTTTAAAAATTTTGATGTATTTATAAATTTTTTATCAAATAATAGTTTTTATTTTTTAATTTTATTTCATATTTACATATTTATTTACAAATAGATAGTTGTTTTATAACTTGACTGTTTTTATTTCATGAAAAAATTCATGTCTTATTACATGATCTTTTTCTGTAACATTTTAATTTTGGGTTCTCAGAGATTCCATTTATCCATTTAATTTTTCCAAAGTTTTATTTCATGATTTAAATTAATAGATTTTTACTTTTATTTTCTTTGGTTTTTACAATAAAATCTCCCTTGCTTGAATTGCCTGAAAAGTTAGAAACAAATCAAGTGTCAGATTTTTCACCGATATTGAATAAAATGAACTAAAGTCACTAAAGTCTTTAAAAAGTTTTCTAGTTGAGTTTAAAAAAGAATTAATAGAGCTGAAAAAATTTGAAGAAAGAAGCAAAAAAATATGCATCAATTTTGGTGGATATACCTCAAACAATTGCTTCTCATCACTATTGTTTTATATGCCACATTAATAACTCTTTAAAAAAATTTAAATTCTTTTCAGGGTAAGGTGTTATTGATGCTTATTTACCAAAAAAATTCTTGATCATCACTGGATCAAGAAGTTGTGGAGAGCATTTGAACAAAGTTGGATTAATAATTCTGATATTTAGCAAATAACAGCAAATAGGCCTAAGAAATATTTAATGCTAAAGAGTCTCAGTTGATATTAGTTGTTGGCGGAACTTGTTATAAAAAACTGTTATATTCAATACTGATTCTTTTTTAAATAAAAAACTGTTATATTCAAAAGAGCAGCAACAACTATTTTAAATTAAAAACATTCACCAAACAAAAAAAAAAACTTTTGGCTAAACTCTTTTTATTTTCAATATCAAATGCTAAAATGGTAGATGTCTTTAGACTTCATGAGGCAACAAAAAATGACGCTTCAATTATGAATGGTGTACTTCTAGGCGACTAAAACTTTGGAAAATTGCTTCATCCTGGTGACATTATATTACTTGATAGAGACTTTCTTGATAACTTAAGAAATGCTTACAATTTGGAGCCAAAAATGCCTGCATGCGTAGAAAAAGGTCAAAATTGACGTCATTACAAGCTAATCAATCTAGAATGGTTACCATGTATTGTTGGGTAATTGAAGTCACAAATTCATTTCTAAAAACATCATTTAGAGCCTTAGATAAAGTACACAATAAATGTTTGCCTCACCAAATACAGAATTACAGCATCCCTTATTAATTTAAAAAACAAAACGGTTTTTCAACCGTCTTTACTCAGACCATAATGACAAACAAGCAATTATTAAAAACTTGAAAGTAAAGTTTCATTTAGAGAATAGTTTGGAAAAGCTGGTCAAAACTGAAAAACTAAACAAAAAGAGTTTGTTTGTAAACATTGAAGCAATTCTTGTACTCTATTTTCCGAAATTGCTTGAAGAAACAATAAAAAACAACATAACTTTAGACTCATATCGCCTTAGACAATGCTTAAGCTACTATTTTTTAATAATAGCGCCAGAAACTTCAATGTTGACACAAATTGAAACTTCGGAAGATTTTATGAGTCAAAAAAATTTCAAAACATTTTTAAAAGAAGCCTAAAATTAATTTAGTTTCTTCTTCTGAGTCATTTGATGATAATTCAAGCATAGATGAAAATAAATTTATTAAGAATACAAAGCATTCACTGTCCAGTATGCAAGATGCAGTCAATCCAAAGAAATTGAAAGTTAACAAAAAACAAAATAAAAACTCGTGGTTTTTTAGTAAAATTCCTAAATGGAGAGGAAAGCTTATAAAATTGAATTTTAAAAAGTTGGTGAAACTATTGAACACATGCGCAATTAATTATTTTTTACTCGATTTGGACTTCAAGAAAGCTGTCTGAGAACATATTGATTTATAATTCTCTGATCTCAAAAAAAATTGCTTCCATAATAGAGTTTATTGATGCCAATGGTTGGGATAAAGCAAAAGTGTTTGAAATCTTTGTGTTTCTCAAGACAAAAATAGAAGTCTCTAACTCTACAATTGGAACTGAAATGGAATTTTTCATTAACTTCATTACCCCAATTCAGTCTTTTGAGTCACAAGTAGTTCGCAATAATCAGTTGTGCATGTGAAGTTCAACTAGAACTATTAATAATCTCTACTTCTCAAAAGTAGGTGAAGAACTAGTCTTGAACTTTTTTCTTTTAAAAAAGTTTTCTTACTGTTCACATCAACTTTCGATTTGCAAAAATTTTAATTGTGTTCCTCTTTTTCTTTTTATTGAGTCGGATATTCAAAATGAGTTAAATATTTTTTTGGTGTTTAATATTTATTAGGGGTTTCCAAACAATAAATCATTAACAGAAGTTGCACACATGAGGGGTGGAAATAGGGGTGAAAGCAAACACCATAGGTGGTATACCTCTTTAACCATAGTGATATAAATGTATACATATATGTATACATATGTATGCATACTTTTGTGTGTATATATGTATATACAAATGTGTTTTTAATACAAAAATTTTTATTAGGTGTATCAAGCCAAACAACTTAAAGCTAAGCAATAAATTTGATGACAATTTAGTTATGGAACAAGTAAAATACATGGATTTAATTGATACTATAAGAATTCGTCAAAATGGCTATCCTTACAGAGTAACATTTCAACAATTTCTAGAACGGTGATTTTAATTTTTGTTATTTAAAAAATGTTGTTTTTTTTTTTGCTTTATTTTCAACACTTCTTTTTAAATAGCTGGTTTTAAACAAATTTTTTCAAACACTTGCATTTATATAATTGGTTTTAACTGCATTTTGAAAAATGAAAAATTAGATTACATTAAAAAAAAATATTTTTTTAGTTGTTATTAAATATTTTTATCTAGTCCTTTATTTTTCTTATTTTTTACTAAATTAGATTTACTTGAAAAACATATTTAAAAAAAAAAACAAATTAAAATAATTTTTTTTTTTTTTTAATACTTATTTTCTTTTTTATTAATTTTTTTTGATTTCTTGACCTTAAATTCATTTATATTATATATTAATTAACTTTCAGCTAATCAAGCATAATATTTATAATTTATAATTTATAAAATATTTACAAAAAATTAAAAATAAATTATGTTGTTATATTGACATGAAATGTTTGTTAACTTAAAAATAATTTATTTTTAACAAATAAATTAAATTACCTTTATTTAGTTATGAGTACATCAGTTGCAAGATTCCATTAGAAATTACACCATCAAATTGTATAGCTATTTTGCAGAGTTGTAATTTAAAGGATTGGAAGATTGGAAAAACAAAGGTTAAAAAGTTTGAAGTTCTTTTTTGATAAAAGTTGTCTTAAAAGAAGTTCATTGTTTCTAATTATTGAGATAATTCCAATATTTTTTAATAAAAAATAAACAATTTTATTTTTTTTATTTTTAATACTATAATAAATTTAATACTCATTTTTTTATATATTATTATTATTATTTATTGTACCGCAACAAGCTATAGCTTGTGTAACCAATTCTGGTTTTGGCAGCCTACATAAAAATTTACAAATTATTTTAAAATAAGTTAATTAAATGGGAATAAAGCGAATTTCATCATTAATCATCTCCAAGGTTTTCCGATTCGAAAAATTTATCCAATCTTGCTTTGAAACTATTTACAGTTTTGACCTCGCGTTCGACTTTGATTAAAATTTCTTGGATAAGAGAGTGAATTTACGTTACACCAATTTACAATATCGAAGCCATTTATTATTTTGAAACACTGTATTAGGTCACCTCGAACTCTACGGTCAACAAGACATTGAATACCCACAGTTTTTAATCTGTTTTTGTAATCTAATTTTCTGAGTGATGGAATCAAAGGAGTTGCTCGGTGTTGTACTTGTTCAATTAAATTTATGTCATTTTTTTGGTGAGGGTTCTACGCCGATATTGCAAATTCCAAATGAGGTTTCAAAAACGCAGTAAACAATGTTTTGAGAAGTTTGCTATTCATATAGGTGAAAGTCCTGCTTAACATTCCAAGTATTTTATTTTCTTTATTTGACGCATACATAACTTGACTATGATATTTCGTTTTACTAGATAAAATAACACCTAAATCCTTTTCATTGTTTGAACTGCATTTACTTGTTATTTAATTTGCTATTGATGGAATTGTATAATTATGATGTTTGTTTGATTTGCCGAGATGCATTACTTTGCATTTTGACTCATTCGAGTGAAGAAGTCATGTTTGGGACCATTTTGCAATTTTATTTATGTCATTTTGTAATACATTTATATCATTGATATTATTTATTTTTGCTAATAGTTTAGTATTGTCAGCATACAGTTTATTTACACTTTTTAATAGTTCTGGAATATCATTAATATATATTATAAATAAAATAGGACCTAGAATGGATCCTTGCTGTACACCACTCCGAACCTCTTTCCATTCTGATGAAAATTTTGCCATTAACACTTTTTGTCAACGATTTTTAAAAACAGATTCAACCCACTTTAAAGTATGGCCAATAATTCCATAATTCGACAACTTGTGAATTAAATATCTATGCGGAACAACATAGAAGGCTTTGGCAAAACCCACACTCAAAAAATAATTCTCTTATTTTTAAGGGAAAAAATAAGAAAATAATCCCTCAAAATCAGCACTGGTAAAGATTTCCTTAAAATAAGGAAATAAAATTTTAAGGAAATAGTTTTCCTTAAAAAAATTTCCTTAAAAAAGGGAAATAATTAGGTAAATAATTTCCTTAAAAATGAAAAATTCCTAAATGTAATTAAATAATTTTTCCTTTCATTGAGAATTGTAATTAAGGCAATTTTTCATGCCATTAAGGAATGTAGTTTAGGCAATATTCCCCGACATTGAGGAATTTAATTGATGCAATTTTTACTGACATTAAGGATTGTTATTAAAGGGTAATTTCAAAATAGTTGCACAATGGGTAGCACCCAAGATCCAAAAAATTATCAAACCAAACGCATTAAATAAATTCATAAATCACAAAAAGTGACAAGTGTACAGCAAAATGGTTAGTACAATAATAACTTATTGGAAAACAAGTCGCAAGATTACAAGTATTAAAGTAGACTAAATTGTTTAAACAACTAAATATTACACCAAAAATTAAATTGATACAATATAATAACTGTGCAAGAACAAAATAACACAACCACTTGTGCAGCCAAGTATTCGAGTGAATGTAATAAATGCATACAAATTTAAAAAAGTAATTTACACAGCCAAATATTCGAGTAAATATAATATAATAACTGCAGCATGAGTATACAATGATTGAAATTTTGGCCACTTTTTTGTGTGTGCAGCCAAACATTCAAGCTAATACAGTATAATAACTGTTGCATGATGAGCACACAAAATAACAAAACTGAAGTAATTTTACAAGTTTGTTGACACTTTTATTCATTTAACCAGGGCTGTGGAGTCAGAGTTGCAGAGTTGCGACAATTTACCGGAGTCGGAGTCGCTAAAAAATATTGCAACTCCGATAGTAAAATTTCTTGGTATTGCACATGCATGTACAAAACATTCAATTAACCTTATGTTCATACTAAACCTCAAAAAATGTTTCATAAATTTGTCAAAAAAAAAATTTCAACTTACCTGGCAATATTTTTTAAAGAATTCAAAGAATTTTTCAAAAATTTTGCTTTGGAGTTGGAGTCAGAGTTGGAGTCGGAGTCGGAGTTGGAGTTGTACTCAAAAAATTTTAACAACTAGAGTCGGAGTCATTACTTTTTTTTTACGACTCCACACCCCTGCATTTAACTATGTCAAGCTTTCAAACATAATCAGTGGTGATCACTAGTTAGTATATGTTACAGTTAAAAAAGTCAAGCTACATTGTTGATGGTGCCAACCATTCGTTCCTTGCCAAAGGTTAAATTATATTTGAAATTGCAAAAATTTCTCTAAACTGTAGGGATACTCCAAATTAAAAATCCAAAACACCTAAACATGTAATCCAAGTGTTCCACAATCAAAAATTCAGTCAAGAAAACTTTTCCGTCACACAATTCTCCCAGTGATTTTGTTGAGATCTTTCAACAAATATTTAAGGTGCGGTTTGGGATGAGCCTTTGTGGAACATCTATGCCAGTAACAATAACATTCTAGGCTAAATATAAAACAAAAAGTACATGTAATACAAACTAGGACATTTCCGATTCCATATAAATTTAAAATATTCTTATATATATATATAACTTTTTATATATTAAATAAGTATTATATAAAAAATTAAAATTAGTTTTAAGTTAGTGTTAACTTGAGAAAATAAAGACATAAGATAAATGTAGATTTATGTACTGAAAAAGAAATTTTGCATTTCAATAAATATGAACAACAATGCATCCAAAATGCTCACCGCTCTATATATCAGCAAATCAAACATTTTGTTTTTCAAAAATTAAATTTTTGTCATCAAATATTTAATTTTCGGAAATTGAGCTAAACTTGAATTCCAAAATCAACTTTCAAACATTTGTTGATTCACTAATTAATCTGAGTAAATCTATTTAAGTTTATCTAAGTTAACCTATTAAATCTATTAAGTTTACCATTAAGCTCCTGGATTTATATATATATATATATATATATATATATATATATATATATATATATATATATATATATATATATATATATATATATATATATATATATATATATATATAAACACACACACACATATATATATTATATATTTATATATATATATATATATAATATATATATATATATATATATATATATATATATATATATATATACATATATATACATATATATATATATATATATATATATATATATATATATATATATATATGTATATATATATATATATATATATATATAAATATAAATATATATATGTATATATATATATATATATATATATATATATATATATATATATATATAATATATATATATACACTGTGAAACATTTATATTCTTATAAAATTTATAAGTATAATTTTAAACTTAGTTTAACGTAGAAAAGTAATTAAATCAAAAATATTTGTTTCTACACATTGTCACAATGTGTATGGTCCATACACATACTATGGTTTTTATATAATTATACCAGCTTATTCGATTTTTTCCGTACTATGGCAATATTATACTATACTTTACCATACTTACTATACTATACTTTAGCAATACTATACTATAGTTTACCACATGTATGTGTATGGGCCATACACAATGATTGTGTATGGCCCATACACATACATGTGGCTTTTATACATTTATACCAGCTTACTCAATTTTTCTAATACTCTATAACGATTGGGAAACAATTTACTGTTTTCTTAAAATAAAAAATAACAAGAATTTTCGTAAATAAATAACTTTTTAAACATAATGTACCTATATCATTTCATACGATATCAGCGCCATTACTGTAACACTAATGGCGTTTAAAAAAGCGTTTTTCTTTAAAAATATTTCCTTTGTTTTTACTTAATTTGGATTTAAGGAAATAAGTTTCCTTAAATCAAGGAATACCTTTTACTACGGTAAGGAAATTTTTAAGTAAAAACCGGTAAGAAAAATTTTTTAATACGCAAGGAAAGATTTTTTTGAGTGCATGAATACTACATCAACCGCATTTCCTTTAGATAATGAATAGGTAATAAAGTCCATTGTTTCAATTAAATTAGTTGTGCATGATTTGTTGTGCATAAAACCATGTTGATTAGTTGAAATTAGGTGATTTTGTACTAAGTGTTGGGCCATACTGTCTTATCAATATTGTTACCATATTGTTTTATCAATTTTATAAATTTCCAGTTTTATCAATTTGTTGATTTAATGATTTTGTTGCACGGTGATACAATTCAAATTTTTTAATTTGTTTATTATTATTGTTTTTATTAATTTTTTATTTTTAATCCAATTTTTTATTTTTTATTTTTATTTTTGTAGGTGTTTCTCAAGCTTTTTCACGTTTCTTTTTTATCTAAGAAATTAGATGAAATATTACACAAAGTTGTGCTTATACAGAAAGGTAAAATATGTTTGTGCAGAAAGGTAAATTTTGTTTATAAAAGCTTAAACATAAAGTTTAGAAGAAAAAATCTTTGGTGTTATGATTTTATATATTTTTAAAATAAATTTTATTTTTTATACATGTCAATAAATATTTCCCATTGGGTTGCGTGGGCCTGGTTGTTTGGTAAAAATAAACACTTAATCTCTCATCTTGAATCTAATAACTTACTTTCTGATCACAAATATGGATTTCGATCTTCTCGTTCTACAGCAGATTTGCTAACAGTAATAACCGATAGGTTTTATCGTGCATTAGATTGATGTGGAGAGTTTATGGCTATCGCTCTTGACATTTCTAAAGCTTTTGATAAAGTTTGGCATGTTGGATTTCTCCATAAGCTCTCTTCTTACGGTGTACCAGGTAACATTTTTAAGATTATTGAACCCTTTCTTACCAACGTAGTATAAAAGTTGTCCTCGATGGACAGCACTCTTCTTTTTATCCTGTATCTTGAGAAAAAATTAATATTGATGAATTTTGATTGAATGCACAAAATTATGAATAGAGAAAAGGACATCTACCAAGTGAAAACTATCTAGAGTTTTTGGAGTTAACTTGTTTTTTATATCAGACTTAATGAATGGTAAAGCTCATTTATGTGCTTAAAATCTTTCTCTCTTAAAACTAGTTCAAACGTACCAAATATGAAAGTGTTGTTTGCTTAGAGTTTGATTTATTTGCCTCCTTAATCTATATGAAAATCTTTGATAACTTGCTCAAGCTCCAGTGGCGCTCTATTCAATGATGCAGCCTAATACAGAGCTTAACTAAAAATAGTATCATATCTATTGTCGTATTAAAAACCAGGCTGAAAATAATTGGTCATCATTTGTGTTGGAACTAGCTATACTCGTTCTTTTTACTGAAATTGTTCTTCTATAAATGTCTTATAGCGGCACAGTTATATGATATCTTAGGAGAACAAGAATTGAATTGCACTTTTAGGGTGGAATGCAAGAAGCAAACTTAAGTCAAGTTCGACTTGAACTTTACTTTGTAACTAATAGCGGCAGAATATTTTTTGAGGGGAAAACCCATACTCCGTCGCTATTGGTTGCAATGTAAAGTTCAAGTCGAGCTTGACTCAAGTTCGCTTCTTGCATTCCACCCTTAGTATTTTGCAGAACCACGGCTAAAGGAAAATCTCTGTAATAAAGATTAATTGCATATTATTACAAGATCTATCCATCAAGACTCTTGATTCTTTTATTTGACCTTTTTTTTGTTTTTTTTTGATGCTTTGCACAGGGTGTCTTGATCAGGGAAAAGTCAGGGAATTCAGATATCTGCAAAAAAAATTAGGGAATAATTAAGGAAATTTGGAAAAATCAGATAAAATGGCTTCATCAAACTTACGTAACTTAAGTAGGTTGTATATTGTGCAAATCTTATAAAATTTTATTCGGTAGATAGTTTTTTGAACTTCTCTTAATGTAAATTGTATTAATGTTTACATTTTTGAAATCGAAGAACATTTTTCCAAAAGAATATAAGTCTAATTTTTCTGAAGTTTATTGGTGACTAAGTTGTGACTATAGTTGGTAACTTTGAATTAAATCAGGGTAAACAGGTAGTGGATCAGGAAAAAGTCAGAGAAATCCGCTTTGAAATATTGGCAGATACCCTGTTTTTAGTTAGATACCCCGTTTTTTTCAAAAGATATTTTTTACAGAAGAAGTTTTTTACAGTTAAACTGGTCAAGTTTACAGAGCACAAAGAAATCTGAGAGGGCACTGAAAGAAGTCAATTATCTTTTATCTAATGAAAGTTGAAAAATCTAAAAAAAAATTAATAAAATCAAAACTAGTGCGTCAAGTGTTTCAAAAATTTTTGATCAAAAAACTGAATTTTTGTTTAAAAAAAAAAAAATCTTTGTTTAAAAAAAGAACAGTGTTTAAAAAAAAAAAACATTTTTACTTTTTTTTTAAAACATTTACGGGGCAGTGTTTATTGGCAACAAACGTTTGCGCTGAAATGACTTTTTTTTAGGGAATTCTGGTTTTTACAAAAATTTTAAATTATACTTACGAAATATTCAGAAATTCATTTTGTAACATACCATTGAAATATATTATTTAAGTAATTTACTATGCTTTTAAGTAATTTATTTAAGTAATTTACTATGCAAAAATATTTTTCATAAATTATAGACCAATAAAAAAATTTTTAAATACAAAAAATAAAAAATTGTAAACCAAATGTTATAATAAATGAACATAACGTTATCAATAATTTTTTGTCACTCTTGTTACTAATTCTTTGTAACGCTTGATAGCGATTTTCAGGTTTTTTGATTCCAGGCCATCTAGTAAAGTAGGGGGCAATTTTTAGGTTTAATATTTTGTGAGCAGTCAAGCTCACACATTATACAACTTTTTTAGAATATTACAACTACATTTACTTATATCTCTACAGTACGATTTTTTTTTTTTTTTTTTTTGCATCACAAAATTTCATTAAATTTTCACATCACTTGTAAACAGCCTTTCTATTTTTTTTTTTTCAAATTACAGGCTTTTTTTCAAACAACAGGCTTCGTTAACTATATTAATTAAAAAAAACAATTTCTGAAAAATCTAAGGGGTCCATCGTCACCGAAATATCTTAGGGGTCCGTAGTCTTTCTCGTTATCTCTTTCCAAAATGCATTCGCCCCCTTCAATAATGGTATTTTTACTTTCAAGAATTATAAAGATATTCTTAAGATTATAAGTTTAAGATTATGACGTTAAGATAATGACGCAACGATTGACGTTTAGTAAAATGACATGCTTTTTTTTATTCAACAAGTATGCTATTTTATTTGAGGGGTTTTTATTTTTTTTTTTTTCTATTTTTCTTTTAAGTACATTTTTTTTTTTTAATAGAAAGCAATTCAACCAATTGCAATAAATTTCAGTTTAAAGTAATTTATTTATCGTATGACAAAAAAAAAATTTATAATCAATTTGAAATTGTTCGATTTTTGTTTAACCTCTAGATTTTTAGATTTTTGTTTAACCTCTCACGAGTTACTTTTAACGATTATTTGTAACGCGCGATGTAATGATTATGATTACTTGTAAAACGAGCAAGTATAATATATATGGAATAACGTTTTTCGTTTTTCGCAAATAATGTAAGCTTTTCTAATTTCCGGTATACATTTTTTGAATACTTTAAAAAGAAATAATCACTTGAAAACATCTTTAAAATTTGATTCAACTAAATTTAGTAGAATTAAATTTTGTAAACTGTAATATTGTTTATTAAAATACGCTTTTAGGTAAACTTAGTTTTTCAAATTTTACTAAAAAGGTTTGATATCCAATGCGCGTTAATGTGTTTTTAATCAAGAAAAAAGTTTGCGGTATTTAGATTAAAAAATTTTTTTTTTGTTATAATATTGAAATAAATAACTGTATTATAAAAACTAAACTTTTCATAATTTTTTAAAATATTTTTACAGATATAGCTAAGAATACGCGCGTCACAACGTGACATCGATTTGTCACGCCATGACGCTTTAATTATGCAATAACTTGTAAAATAGAAAGTAAAAAGTAAATAAAAAATTATCCAAAGAACATATATTTTTTTACCAAAATAATATTAATATAAAATATTTTTTATACACATAGATATTATAAAATTGTATTTTCTCGATAAGAGCAAAATATCGAGGCATGTGGAATTGCTGTATCGCCTAAATTATTATTTTTTTTTGATTACGTTTGCGCCCATAATCAATCATTAAAATTTGCCTATTAAGAAACTCGGTGAAATTAAGGCGATGATTTTTTAATTTTTCAGATTCTTTTATTTGGAATTAGCATGACTAAAGTCAGCGTATTATGTCAAATTAAGAGCTTTAGATGTTATGATTTATTTTGCTTTAGGTTTTTATAATGTTAAAAAAAAAAATTCGTTTTTTTTTAATATAATTTTAATAAACTCTGTTACCATCTCTAATAGAACACCATTTTCGAGTCTTAAAATCAATTTTGCTCGACAGCGTTAACTTAATATCTTTTGAAAAAGTACGTTAACCCACTAAAGATCCTAATTCTAATATGTTCTGGTACATGTTAATTAAATATAGTTGTCAAAAATTCTTTAAATGCTATAAAAATATAAAAAAAATTGAATGGTAAGTTCTTCAAAAAAAATTATAATAGGTATGTGACATGATGTTTTTCAATTAATCAAACGCTAGATTGTTAAATATCATTGGAAAGACCTTAAAAACAGTATTTTAAAGGTGAATTATCAAAATCGAACAATTTTACAAAAAGTTATAGCATTTTAAGTACCAAGTTTTTAATATAGAGATTTGTGACCATAGAAGCGTGACCAAGTTTTTCTTAAAATGCCATAATTTTGTAAATTCTTATCAAAATTCATAAAACTTGGTATCAAAAGAAAGATCTTAAAATGAAGAATAAAGATACATAAAAGACGTTGCGGGGCGTTAGAAGGGCGTCTATAACACCCTTTAATATAGTTTAAATCTAGGTTTTTTTTAAATGAAATTTTAATTTTTTATTAAAATTTTGAATTTTATTTTACATTTTTTTATATTTTATATATTTTATACTATTCAATATTATTTTGTATCATAATAATAAACATTACTAATGTTCAAATGCTTATTATAAACATTACATACAATGTTGCTATAGTGATTTTTTAGTTGATAAACATTACTAATGTTCAATTACTTATTATGATACGCCCTCCCCCAACTATTCATGCGTATAGCGGAACTCAAGTCAAAAATAAGTACGTATTTTGGGTGAGTTAATAGGGTGTCTAGGGGGTGCTTTTTTTCATGAAATTTAGCAGATAGCAAAAAAAAAGGTTTTTGATGATGTCTGAATATATTAGAAAAAAGTCTCAGCATTCCTTCAATACATGATGCACAAACAACAGGGAGGTTTTAAACATCAATAAATTGATTATAAACATAATTTCCGTGCATTATAAACAAATATTTCCGTGCAGAATTGAAATTAAACTCTTCTAGTACCCAACAAAAATCTTTGTTGATACAAATTTCTAAAAAAATAACACAGCAAAACATGTCATACCACTCTAAAAAAACACAGAAAAAAAAGCACAAAATTTGGACGAAGAAAACGGTGCCGTTAAGGTTGGATTTACAATTACCTAATTATAAAGTAGCTATTTTAAGAAAACCAAATCATCACACTATTATTGATACCTATTTTCAAAAATAATTTTTGTGAAAATTTCTTCACAAGTCAAGTGTTAAAGTTATGGAACAAACTGCTTATTTCAGTTGTTGAATCGCAGTCTGTTAATGAGTTTAAATCGAAAATAAACAAGCTATGTTTTGCAAGGTAATTATTGGTTTTAGTTAAGTTGTCTTGTAAAACCTATTATTGAGTCTGTTATAGGGTTGACTTGGCGTTGACCCTCAACAGGAAAATATATCATTATTAAATACATTAATTCTATCAATTTTCACAAAAAATTACGAATTCTGATCAAGAAAGCGCTTATATTAAATAAAAACTGCCAATAAACAATCATAATATATCTTGTTATTAAACTATTGTGTTCATTTCACCAAAACAACGTATTTAATAAAAATCTTATTCAAATCTGGACAAGCAATAATCTTTTTATTTTTAATTTGAAAAAAAAAACAAAAAAACTTCAGTCTAGGTTTTTTCGCCACATACATTTTTATTTTATGTTAATGCAAAATTTTAAAATTTCTATCATTTTAATTTTTTTCGTATTGCGATAATTCATAGACCTGATCATTTAATGGAAATGAATTGTCAGCAAAATATCATACAGAGGCTGTAATATTTAAAAATCGCTATAACTAGACCGAGAACGCACGTTGCGTTTAAGCATTCATACGCATTTACTGTGTTAACTTCAGATTTAAACTTTTTGCTATAAAGAAGAAAAATCGAGTAAAAATTGTTATTTAAGGCGCCATTCCAAGTAGCATGTACTAAAAACAGTTGCTGCCAGGTGTTATGGATATGTTATATTTGTAGACGGATAAAATAGATTAAAGGGCGTTTCTTTTTAATGCAACGTCGTTTTAAACAATAACGTGCTATTAAAGTTTCAAAAAAAGATAAGATGTCTAATAAACGATTTAGACAGTTTAAGTTCTCACCAGTCAATCTTTTGAAACAATTTGTAAAATTTAATCAATAAAATTCTTTCAATTTTTTTTTTTAATTTGAAACTTTAGTCGAAAATGTTTTTTTTTTGTTTTTTTGTTTATTGAGATTTCTGTTTTGTTACATGTGCTTTTTTACCATGTGCTTAACGAGATTTTTTTTTTTTTCTTAACTTTTTCCCTACTGATAAATATTGTATGTATAGTATCATATGCGGTTTTGTAATTTTTAAATAATTTAGTCATTGCGGGGAGGTATGCTGTTTTTTTTTTTTAATGTAACAAGTTAAACCGATCAACGGTTAAAATAAAAAAAAAATTTTGTACTTGAATCACGCAGAAGTAAATATAAAAATGTTTTTATTTTAAGAATTTCCCTACTTTACTTGAAAACGTAAACGATATCGATAACCTAATAACTTTCTTTTGTTCATTTATTTTAATTATTATCTTTTTTGTTCACTTATCACATTAAAAACTTAAATTTTTACGCTCTCTAAATTTTTTCTTTTACAATTTTTTTTTTAAATATAATTTTAGTATATAATTTTTTTTTTTAATATAGTTTTCCGAGGTTACCTTACCAGAATGAGCATTAATACTATCAGGACGAACGTCAATGTTCTACAAAATAGTGGGAATGACAAAAGCAAAGAATATATTGGAAACCTATCTAGTTCGGTATTAAATTTATTTCAATATTCGACTTTTTTTTTTTTTTAATTATTTTAGTCAGGCATTATTTGTTTTGAGTAAAGTGGCAACGTTTACATTGTTGATGTCAAAAATTGAATGGATTTTAGTGTTTTTCTTTTATTATTAAATTTAGCGCGGTTTATACATTTACGGTTAGTTTGTCATAGTTAATAGAATTTTTAGTTTTTATAATATTTCTGAAGGTAAATAGTTTTAATGAAACACAAAGAACGTTGATTAAATAATTACTAACTTGGGTAAATAAAAATGAATTAGTGAATTGTTTTGTAAAAGCAAATGAATTGGCTGTCGCTTATTAAATGTTAGGTTTACTTCAAAATCCGTTCACTGTTTAGTAATCGCTACCTTTAAGTTTCTCTTACGGACTTAACCGAATAAATGTTGATTTAACAACCCGTACATGTTTAATAAAATATAAACTTATTAACATAATCGGATTGGTTAATTCATGCTGCGGTGCCAGTTTGCCTTTTTGTTAAAGTATCTTATATCATACATCCATTTCTCTAAGCTCATTGACTTGACTATTTCTGCATGTCCACTATCTTCACAGGTCATCACTTGCTCTGCTATGAGTCATGCTCTTCGTTTTTTTATTGCATTCTTTTTACTAAAAACACAAAAGGTTTTTTAGAAAGAACTTTAAAAAAATATTAGTAATGATTCAAGCACAATTCAAGTTCGCTTTTAATATCCCTAGAGAATGAGAAACACAAGAGAATAATTATCTCCTGTAGTAGTATTTTTTTTTTGTAATTTAAATAAAGGTACTAACGATGTAGTTATTAATATCCTTATTGCAGTAGTGGTTGACTTACCATTAAAAATATTATGAAAGTATATTTGATCATTCTTATTATTGTTCAAATCTCAAATATTCTATAAAAAAATCAAGCTCTTTTATTGTTGTTGATTGCTTTAAAAAAAATATTTTTTATATTGCCTCATTTGTTTATTATGTTACCTTATTTGTTTTGTCTTTATTATCTTTAATCCCACGTGGAGATCAAAAAAAGAACTTTACATTATTTCACGATTTAAATAAAATTAAATTGTTTTTTTAATACCCTTATTGGGATACAAAGTTATTTCTTATTATCTAAAATTGTCTGCACATTCCAACTAATCAATAATTAGTCAATTTGTAATAAGTAATGAATGAAAAAAGACGATAAGCTGCAAATTGACGATATCCGGCTGGAACATTGTACTTGTCGTGTTCATAATATAATTTTTTTTTTCTCTTAAGACTTTTAATAAACAATTAATTTTTGATCAATTATGTCATCTCGTTTTACAATATGAAGCATTATAATTTATACGCGTGAAACGTGAGTATGCAAAAAATGTTTTGTGTAAAAAAATCAATTAAATATTTTTTCTTTTGTTCAGCGTGAAATCAAAATTTTTTTGTGGTTTTATCTTTATGTAACCGAGTAAAGTATACTTTAAAATTGAAGATTTAACAAAACTACTTTTCTTTTAAATGAAAAAAATATTTTCATTGTAATTATTGAGTTTAGTTGGCAGCTTTCGGGTTGCATTTTTCTTATCAATGATTAGAACAAAACTAACCAGGAAAGAGTTGAAGTTACTATCAAATAAAAAAAACATAATTCATATAATTTTGACTTCCATTGTCACCTGCTTTTTAGGGACGCCGTAAAAAATGTTTTGAGTCGTAAAAAATGTTTTGAAAATGTTTTGAGTATTTAAAAATGTTAAAAAAGAATAAAAATCTTTATGGAGTGATTAGAAATTGTGAATTAGAATTAATATTGTGAATTGTGAATTAATATTTTAAAGGAATGGGGGGGGGGGAGGTGCTTGAAATTGTTAAAAACAACCGCTATGTTTAGAGGGGGTGCTTGAAGTTGTTAAAAATAACCATTAATTTTAGGAGTATTGCTTTAACTTGCTAAAAACAACCTTTTTTTTAGGGGGGGAGGGTGCTTAAAAATGTTAAAAAGAATTTTGTGCAACTAATCAATTTTTTTTATAGGGTTTTCATTATCGTAATGTTTTTGTATGTCTTATAAAACTCTTTGTTTTTCGGCGAGTATTTAAAAAAAACTGGAAAACAAAATGGGTTTCCCGCTTTTAAAATTTTAATACTATTTTTATTACTTATTTTTATTAATAACTTTTATTTTTATCTTGTGTTTAAAAAAAAAAAAAATTAAAAAAAAACTATTAATAGTGACGCTTCATGAAATGTTATTAGCGAGCAGCCATTTTACTTTGAATATTACTCTATTTAAATATTACTTACACAATTAAATCTTCATTTACAAGCATTTATTTTTACACCCTTTTGCTGATAAAACTGCTTCACTTTTTGAACAAAAGCACTATTGTGTTGGAATAGCATTTGCGTCTGCTACATAGTAATTAGTAACGGAAACATCTGTAAAATCTATTTTAATTTAATAATTAATCAATTCTCTTTTCCGTCGTTTTCTTAGTTCTGATTAGTGTTTTTTGTCTGATTGGCTCTTTTTGTTTAATTATTTGAATTTAATTATTTGATTATTTGAATTATACATTATATTACACTTAAATACTAAAGAACTATTAACGCCCCTTTTTTCAAGCTGGCTTTTAATGATGTACAGTTTATAATTGCGGTTTCCGCTATTTGTCCTCTCTTTATGTAAAAATATCCTAAAAATATTTCTATTTTTATATAAGAAAAACATTATTTTATAATCTTTGAAATAGATTTTAATTAGTATAATAAATTATAAAAATTTGTTGACAATAGTTTAATTTTTTTCGAAGAAAAATTTGTTTGAAATAAATCTATAAAAGTCGAAATCAATACAAATCTCAGTATTCATTTTAAGGAAGTGACCAAAAACCAATATTGCTCAACTATAAGCGTTCAAATGTTGATTGGTCGATAAAAGTGGTTTGTTTAAAAAAAATTCCAAATCTCCAATTGTAACGTAATTGAATGTTAGGTTTATTGTTTTGTGTTGACGTCAATAATGGACAACAAAACGTTGAATTATGTTGAATTAAATCGCAAATGTTAATGTTTGTTTTTATTTTTTCATCAAAATTCTTTATTTGATAAAAGGAATAAAAGAGCTTGTAATTTAGTAGGGCTTGTACTGGTGTACTATTTGCATGAAATATTAAAATGAATGAATATCAAATATATTTTGATGACGTTCCGGCTGATAACTCTTCCAAAGTTGAAATTTTAAATGGAGTTCGATATCCACTTAACAAAGAAGTCGCAAAACTGCTCAGAAATTTGGAACTTGTTGACGAGTTGAGGGTATAAAATGGTTTTTTTGTGTTTCAAACTATAATTTTTAACGTTTTGCTAATCAACTTGCATACAACCGGTTATCATTGAATTGTCAATTCTAATTAACTAAAAAGGTTCTATTATACAAATTCTTTTTTTCTACGTTAAGTTATTTATTGTTCTGACTTTAACTAGAATCTTGTACCATTATAATTCAAGATTTGATAGCTTAAAAAAATTCTATCGTTTCATTTATTCGATGAATTCTATTTTGATTTTTCTATCGTTTTGGTCTTTTGTTTGGTGTTGAAGACTCGCACATGTTTTTTGTTTTTTTTAACCGCCAATATTTCACCAATAAAAAATTAATCAATTAACACATTTTTAGCTTTTGTTTTTTTATATAAAAATTTGTTTTTGTAGAGCTTACCAAAGCATCCCGGAAAAGAAAATGCGCTTCAAAAAAACAAACTTACGAAAGTAAACTCCGACTATAATACCTTGCAAATGAAGGAAACATTGAGAAGAGAAACTTTAAAAAATGAAGCCAACGATTCTATAAACCGAAAGGTATATTATTTATATATAAATACTTTTTCTAGATTAGCACTGGTGGTCAGGCTTGATGTTTAACTTTTTTTCGCTGAATTTGCTATTACCTTTTTTAATAATATTTTAATATAATTATTTTATAAATAGTTATAAATTTTATTTTTGTTTCTGACAATTCTTTTCATCCGTCGAGCTACTGTTTATATTTAAATTCTTTTTCTTCAAAAACGCCTTTTTTTTCAAATAAAGAGTTTAAATTAGTCTCATTTAAAAACGCTGTAATAAAAATCATAATTTGGTTTATTAAATGTTAAAAAAAAGTAATAGTACAAATTGTTCATATGTTTTGTTAATTTTATGTATGTTTGGTAATCGTATGTTCAACACTTTGTATATCATTGTTCGCTTTCGATGCAAATACATTTTCTGTAAAAACTGTAGAAATGGATTGAAAGAACACCTCATACTTTAAAAATAAAAATGATGTCTAGCTCATGTAGAGAAAAGCAGACAATTGTGGCATTTAAAATACCTTAAATTATGCATCTCACTTTTTAAAATAATAATTTATTTCATTTAATTGCTTTAGGTTACTCGTAGCAAGTCACGTGCAGCACAAGAACCAATCATCCGAAATTTTACATCTTCTTCAGTTTCTGGTTGGTGTCGTGTAGATTGTTATGAACGGCAGCATCACGTTGCAACTTTTCGTATGGATGAGCCAGTTATTTGTATTGATGGAATTCATCCGGTGTCCGATAAACATCGCATTTCGTTTGCTGGGTTGCCAACTCGCTCGGAAGATTTAAAAGTCCTTAAAGTTAAAAGTTGCATCGGAAAGGTAGGAAAACTATAGCAACTAGATTTTGTAAGCATTTGTGTTTATATTTTTTTTAGTGAAGTATTTGGGAGTGTATTGTTTATTTTGTATTGAAATTATGTGTTTATTTTGGTGTTGAAGTATTTGAAAGTTACATGTTTATTTTGCTGTTTAAGTATTTTGTTTATTTTGTTGTTTAAGTATTTGGAAATTATGTAGTTATTTTTAGTGAATTTTTTGGGGTGTTTGAACATTTTTAAGATTAAATAATAATTGATATTGTAAAATTATTAAATATTATCCTAACAATCTGGTTACCTGCAATCTGATCTGATCTAACAGCAGTCTAATAACTAAATATAATTAACCTTTTAATTTTAGGGGGTTCAACTTCATCAGGATGAGCGGCAAAATCTTTGGGCAACGCGTCTAGGTAAAAATCCAATTTTTGTTCGTGGTCATACGCTTTGTCCTGAGCTTGTTAAACTTAATGGTAAACTTACCCAAGGTGTTCCAATGAAAGTTCTTGATACATCAGCCTTTAAAGAATACATGAAAAAAGAATGCGAAACAAGCGGTTTAGTTGATGACGAGCTAAGAGATAAAATTATGTCACGCTTAAAGGTAAACTTTTTATTTTTTATAATTTCTATATTTAGTCTTGGTGACAACGGACATGTTTTTATAAAATGTTAATGAAAAGTTTTTAATTAAATTATTGGCGATGTTAAATAAAAATAACACTTAATTTTGGTAAACTAATACAAAACTTTGCATAATTTATAGAAATAATATTTGGTTTTACTTAACTTATGCAAAAATTTGCATTATTTATGTAAACCATAAGCGACGTTTAAGTTTACTTTAAAAGCAATACACGTGATCAGGTATTACCTTGGACAGTATTTTGGGTGACGATCTTTTATTATTATAATTATTATTTTTTATTTTTGTTTTTATTTTATATTTATTATTATTTTATACTTATTATCATTTTATATTTATTATTATTTTATATTTATTTTTATTACTTTATTTTTTTTTATTTTTTTTTCAAATTTTGATATTTTATTTGATAAAAAAACTTATATAATTTATTTAAAATCAAAATAAAGGTTTGTATGAGTTTTATTAAAGACACTGTCGTCGATGAAGAAACACCTTGCTGGTTTGAAGTTTGGCTCATCAAGGTCAATGAAACCGTCAATAGTAAGTTTTAATAATGGTTACTTTTTAAAACCAATACTTTTTCATAAAATCTAAAATGCATTACTTTATTGTGTCATCTGAGACTACTTTGCAATTTAGTTTTTTGTAATGGTAAATTTTTAACAAATAAAAAAAGAATTATTATTATTGTCGATAATAATTCTTGAAATTTAGATATGCTTAAAAAACACTTTGAATAATTGAGCCTATTCTCTAATTTCATTTTACGTTCATTTTCATTTTGGCGCAAAATTAATATAAATATATAACATTTTCTTTATAAAAAATGTATCGTGTTTAAAAGTGTTTTTAGCATTACAATTAAGATAAATGACAAAAATTTATTGTGAAGAGGGGGGGGGGGGAGAGGTAGATCAAAACTTTTTTGCTTATTTATGGATAACTCTACGATTAATTAAAAAATCTGTCTATTTTCAGAATACCTCGATAATTACAAAAAAAAAAAAGACCAAAAAGAAGAAAAACGTATGTCAGGTAATTTTACGAATTCGCCTTTGATGAAAGCACGAATTCCACCGATACGGAGGGCAAAAAGTGGTGATACCCTTAAAACTACAGAGCGAAGGGTGCGCAGCCAATCAGGAATTAATGAAAAACTCCAAAGTTCAAAAATAGAAACTAAACCTTTGCATACAGAGGATCCAATAAACAAAAAAGAAAAAACGCTAGAAAGAGTAAGCAATACTACATCGATTAATAATAGCGATAAATTGTCGTCACAAAATACATTACGTCGAGAAAAGAGCTTGGATGTTCGTTTGGAGCAGCGTTTGTTAAGTCAAAATAACATTAAAGAAAACATTAATACTATAGAGAAAAATAAAATAAATGCAGATAATGTTTCGGCACTAGACCACGAACAGTCTTTAATTAGAAAAAATACGGGTAAGATTGATATATCTTTAACGAACAAAATAGTGCGTAATTCGGACAAGCAAGGTGACATAAACCAATCCACTCTTACCTCCAACTCTAGCTTAAATCCACCTGAAACGAAACCATACCAAACTCCAACAGACGGAATGAGTTATCGACAAGTGTTTGGTTTACAAACTTCGGACTATTTATTTTACGTCACACCGCCGAGCAACGTACATCGCCGTCGTTTTTCAGACTCGGATACTGAATCTATGCAGAATTTTGCTCTTCGTTCAGTTCCTCAAGATGACGGGCGGAACAAACTGCTTCAAAATATTCAGCCTAAAAAATGGATCAAAAAAGTACGGAGAAAATCTGAAGACAATCCAAAACGAAAACTTACCTTAACAACTTCAAATAAGTAGATGGGGGCGTAGTATTTAGTATTGATACAATAAATTATATATATATATATATATATATATATATATATATATATATATATATATATATATATATATATATATATATATATATTATATATATATATATATATATATATATATGTATACAAAACTGACAATGTAGCTTAATTATTATAAGTTTTATTTTAAATGTTTGTAACTTTTATCAAATGATTATTTTAGATATATTATTTTTTTAGAAATATTCAGAATCAATAAATATTAAACTTGTCTTTTTAAATTTAATTTTAAATGTTTAGTTATTTTAATTATTAAATGAATTTGAATTAGTTTATTCATAAATCAAAATTTAAGGTGGCTTTATGGTTAAAAAACACTAAAAAATCAAAAAAAAATTGTTATCTTTTTTGAAATTTATTCTAGATTCAGAAAATACATTCAGACTCAATATTACGAGTAATTTCCATTTTTTATTTAAAAACTTTGGCATATAAAATTCGCCGAATGGTCACACACGAGCAGTGAACGCCTGAGGGAAGAAATGAAGTACGTTAGAATAAAGGAGAATTATTTATTAGACAAAGCATATTTTGACAGTTGTCAAGACAAAAATAAAGATTATTAGAGGAATATTTAAAAATAAATAAGACAAGCTATACAACCAAAACAGTACTCAACCATAATAACAATAAGAAAAAAAAAAAAAATTAAAAAAATAAAAACAAATAATAATAAAATATATATATATATATATAAAAATAAAAAATTAAAAATTGTTTTATAAATACCAATATGAACTAAAATATACAAGAAATACAAACCAGTCAACAATTTGTAAAACAAAAAACCATTCAACAAATTAAAAATATGCTAACAACAATGAAAGGACTAATAATGGAAAAAAAACATTAATGCTAATGTGTAAACATAGTTAGTGTAGTGATAAGTAATAAACATCTCCTCAGAGTCGCGTCTATTATTACTGGCGTTTCGATGAGGATCAGCATTTATTACTAGTTTATCCCGTCAGACAAACGTCATCGCCACTTATGCTTTTAAGGTGGCTTTATGGTTAAAAAACACTAAAGAATCAAAAAAAAAATTGTTATCTTTTTTGAAATTTATTCTAGATTCAGAAAATACATTCAGACTCAATATTACGAGTAATTTCCATTTTTTTAACGTACAGTCTTTTCAGCGTCAACTAACGCCCTAGCAACAGTAATCTCCTGTCTTTTTAGTCAACTACATTAAATTTTCAGTACTGAATTGTTGAAAATAAATCTCACTATATATCTTCTGTAAACATACCATTAGCTATTCATATTGTAATAAAACCTATCCATAAATTAATAAAATTTTTTTATTAATTTATGCTCTGAAAATTTGTTAAAACGATGTCTACTTAGTATTACCCAAAATTCAAACGAAGCATTTAATCAAATAATTTGAAAAAGGTGCCCTAAAATGTATTTGTTGCAAAGAAGTTTTAGATATTCATTTCAACGACAGAATGTCTGGTTTTTCAAAAGTTTTTGAGATGCTTAATCTGAAATTCGGATATCTTGGTAATTATTGTTCGTATAAAATAGACAACGCCAACGCCATTTAAAAAGAAAAGCTTCTGAAGCTTTTAAAAAAGTCAGGAAAATGCTGAGAAGTGTCAAAAAGTGATTTATTAATAAAGAAAAGGATGTTGAAGGTAGAAAATCTTACTTTCCAGGAAAATATTAGAAAATAATATTAAATTTTTTTTAAAGGGCGTTTTTTACAAAATTTTCGATATTCCACAAAACTTAAAATAGGTTTTCTTAAAAAGTATAAAACCAATCAACTTGAAATTTTTAGAGTGTACTCAATAACAATTACTTGAGGGGCTGTAGCAGAATTACACAAAAATAATGAAATTACTTTTAGTTTTGAATAATTATCTAAAATAAAAAATTATTTTTTATTTTGCGGCCGTGGCGCAGTGGTTAGAGCGCTTGCTTTATTAGCAGGAGATCCAGATTCGAAACGAGCCTTGGGCATATTTTCGCGTCACAGTAAGAAAGGAGGCGTGAACTTTCTGGTTAAATGTACATCCGCGGTGCTCTGTGACAAGACCGTTAGGTCTTCTTGGGGCACCTAAATAACAATAAATAAAAAAATAAAAAAATTTTGCTTCAATTGCTTTTATCCGCCATTTTTGATGTACAAGTTTTTATTAAAAAGTTCTGCTACAGTCCCTTTGTGTTTAAATAATAAAAATACTCTGAAATTTTTAGGCTCAGTGGATGTATATTTTAGGAGTTATAAAGTTTTAAAAGTTTATTATTTAATTATTTTTTGCTGACTCAGCAAAACAAAAAGTTTTTTATAATGTTTTGGAATGTATTTGTTGATAAAAATGACAAAGTGTAGAAGTTATTTTTTTAACCATAGAGCCACCTTAACAAGCAAAACCATCATATAAAAATAAAGTTTTAGCTGTAAACTCTAATGAAGTGGTGCTGTTCCAGGCACAACCATAATGACGTAATTCGAGACACACAGTGTGTCTTGGATAGTTTTGAAAGCGCGTCAACTTTTACAAAAGTTGAGTTTGCACTAAGTTGAGTTTGACTAAGTTTGCTGGTAACCCATTCCAGTTATTTACAACTCAATTAGTAAAAAACTCCGTTCTTGTCAGGTTTTCATAACTTGCCGTGTAAGTAGTTGATTATGTCCACGCAGATTATACTCTGACAGCGATTGTGCATATACTTGCGGAACTACCAAGTCGACTTTTTTTATTTTGTTTGTAATTTTATACTGTTACATCAGGTCACCCCTTTTTCATTGCTGTCTAGAGTGGTAAGATTAAGTATGATCACTCTATCCTCATAATTTTTATACTTTATCTCCAAGTACTTGATTTGATCCAGCTTTAGGTTCTACTTGATGCCTAACCTTTAGGTTGTTTGATGTTAGGACACCTAGTTCACGTTAAATAATTGTTGCCCCAAGTTCTATTCGATTGTTGTCGTTGTCAAGCATTGAGTAAAGGTGAGCTGACTAATGTGAGTGACAGTATGCATGACTTTACAATTGTCGAGATTAAAAAACATGAACCAATTCTTAGACCATTCAACTGCATGATTTATGTCTAGCTGTAGTTTCATTGCATCATCTTCTGTTTTAATGACCCCTAAAATCTTACTGTCATCGGTGTAGATCTTTATATTATGTGCAAAAATAAATATATTAGAGATTTAAGTTGCATTGGTATGGGCAACATCGTGTTACTGGTAACAGTGGCGGACTGGCTGTATATATATTACCGGCCATGAAAATAATTAAAGGGCCCTCCCGGCCATACATATATCGCAAAGACTGTCCGGTCCGCAACTCTCTAAAAATAAGTCTTAAGAGGAGCAATTAAATCACAGGTTAAAAAAATTACATTGAATTAAAAAAGTAGAAATGATGTGCAATTTGCACAGTGCAAAGTATAGCAATAACTATTCTTTAAACAGTTTACTCAATTCAGAGGACGAAGATGCATATCTTTGAATGTTCGTATCATACTCAAGGCTATCAAGTAGATTATTTTCTACAGACATCAACATATACGACTCTAAGTGGTCATTTGACATAGAATTACGCAATCTTGTCTTGATTAACTTTAACTTAGAAAACGATCTTTCACATTCGGCTTGTGTTACAGAAATAGTACATATTATTTTATAAATATGATCAAATTGTCATAGGTTTTGTCGTTGAGTCTACATGCAGCAAGAATTCGTAACACACAAGATGGACACGATCCGCATGCTCCATTTGTATGCTGATAACAGAGCGGTTCTTCTATGTCATCCTTTTGATATGCATTCTCTCCCAATGTTGTTGTTAAGGGCAAGGAAAATTTCAAAGTATCATAGTTAGTGACAAATGATAACAATTCGGCCTTTATTTTATCAACGTCGGCATCTGGTAAAAATTTGATAATGCTGTGTAAACTGTTTTCAGGAATTCCCGAAATGGCAAGATCAACAAAGTTTGGTGTATCAAAACATGCCATGTCCATATATAATTGTCGATGTGAAGTGAAACGTGACTCTAGACTTTGGACTATCTGATCCATCACCACATTGTAAGTGTGAATTTTGTAGTGTTCCAAAGCTTTAGATTCGTCACGTTCGTCTACTGTATGTTCATCTAACATCGTTGGTGTCTTCCGCTTTCGTTTAGCTGGTAGTTCTTTACCTCTAATATGGTTTCAGTTCTCTGAATGATACTTGCATTTGCCATCCGTACAAATTGAAGAGCGTTATTATGAACATCATCAAAAAGTCTTGATTGACTTTTCAATTCAATTACGGCCTTCTCCACCATCTTGAATGCAACCAACACATTTAATCCACGAGTTTGCAGGTATATTGAAAGTGGTCTCACTTTTTCAAAAACTCGCAGGCAGGTAAAGGCAGTCAAAATGGTGTCAAATTTCAGGAATGGCATGAGCAATGTCTTAGCTTCATGACGTGTCTTTGTATCAAAATTTTCTGATTCGCTTATACATGACAGACATAAAATTAAATTGACAAACACTGTTGAAGATGGCTCAGAAAATGTTCCAAATATCGCTGTTGCAGCATTTGATTTACCCGACCACCTTATTTCACCAATCAATTTCAATCTTTTCATCTTATCCATTCCAATTTGTGTTTCAACAAGTTTAATCCATGTTGCCATTCGCTTATATGACACTTTTATGAATGTTGAAACATTTTGCAAAAGGGTAAAAAATGAAACTGCCTGAATGCAGCAACTGGTTGCCTCCTTCACAACTAAGTTGAGAACATGACCATAACACCAAGTATGTACATGGTGGTCTGCAGCTTCTGTAATCTTTTGTTGCAGTCCATTGTACTGGCCATGATAACTTGAAGCACCATCAGTGCTGTCCGATAGGCAGTATTTCAAGTTAAAGCCAAGCCGCTGTAGCGTCAAATTTAAGAGATCGAACAAGCCTTGGCCAGTACCGTCGTTGCTTGGTACAATAGAAAGCAGCCGTTCATGCACAGTAGCATTTAAAACATAGCGAACCACAATGCTGAATTGGTCAATTGCAGATATATCTTGTGTAGAATCAACTTGTATGGAGTACACTTTTGCTTTGGATACTTCCATTGCAATCTGTTCCTGCATCATGTTTTTCATAATATTGAGAAGCTTTGATATAGTAGTCTTACTTAAAAACGTAACCAGAGCACCGCGACCTTTACTGCCGGCTTTACCTGGACGCTTCAATTTTTCTATTCTTTTGGTTGATTTCTCTTGACACATGGAGAGATGAGAAGCTAAAAGTGGGTCATATTTGGCCAAGAGCTGTACCAAAGCCAAAAAGTTTCCATGATTCTTCATCATTGTCCAACGAATAAGCACCTTCATTCCTATGACCTCGAAATGGCAATGTTTGCTTACATAAATGTTTAATGATATCAATAACTCGAGAAAGTATTTGTTTCCGTATCAGTACTTCATCATTATATTTCTTTATTGCTGTACTATAAAATCTGTCAAAGTCTTGATTATTCATTATACGAATGTAATCAAGAACATGCCTGCGGTGAGTGCTGCTTGATTCGTGTTCTGCAACCCGTTGGCTAACTCGTCTAAAATCTTTTTAGCCAGACGCAAACGATGAAACGGTGTTAGACTGTGGTGATTCAAATGCAACACAAAATGAACAATATAGAGACTGAGAATTTTGGCTAAATGACAACCAATTTCTCGGTATGCTATCCTTCAAGTCCGTTTGTCTATGGTAGATCTTGTTATCAAACGGCAAATGTTCATGTGGTTGAATTGGATGTTTGCTAAAAAACATTTTAACTGCAAACGTGGTGGATATTCAAATGCTGATGTACTCTGCGAATTCGACTCAATATCTCCACCACCTTGAGCTTGTATTATTGCTGATGTACTCTTCAAATTCGACTCAATATCTCGACTACCTTTTGCTTGTATAACTCCTGATGTACTCTGTAAATTTGACTCAAGATCTCGACTACCTAGTGCTTGTATTATTGCTGATGTACTCTGTGAATTCGACTCAATATCTCCACCACCTCGTGCTGGTATTATTGCTGATGTATTCTGTAAATTTGACTCAAGATCTCGACTACCTAGTGCTTGTATTATTGCAGATGTACTCTGCGAATGTGATTCAATATCTTCACCACCTCGCGCTAGTATTATTGCTGATGTACTCTTCAAATTCGACTCAATATCTCGACTACCATTTGCTTGCATAATTCCTGATGTACTCTGTAAATTTGACTCAAGATCTTTACCACCTCGTGCTTTAATTATCTCTGATGTAATTTGTACATTCGATTCAATATTGCCTTGACATTGTGGTTGTACTGACAAAAATGATGTGATTAACTTGCACTTTTTTGCAGAAACTTCTCTGTCTGTAATTTTTCTTTGCGCTTTTGTGCTCCAGATTTTGACACGATGATAGTGACCTGAGTTAAGATTTTAACATTTAAAAAATAAAGCAAAAATAAAGATCGTCTCCTTTTAGAAAAAATGATATTTAGATCTCCCCAAATAAATTTTGTCCGATCAAATTTGTTTGAACGGCAAAAATTGCAAATCAAACATATTAAAACTCAAATAAAGACAGGCCACTAATGACAGATTTTTGATAAAGAAAGGGGGGCAATGAATCCTTAGCCACGGCACTAATTCTGGTATATTTTAGAATCTTAACTATAGCTATAATTTCCAGATCTGTGAAATTCTTGTATTCTTCTTTTATATTATGACTTTGCTTACTGCTGGAACTATTTAAACTGTTGCATTTAAACATTAGAAAATTCATTATAGATGAATTTTCTATTGTATTCCTTGAAGGAAATAGAAGGAAGAGAGTAGCAACTACCAACTTATCCCTTTTTTTAGTACTTTAACTTGATAGGTGAAGAACATTAGTGAAGTGAACATTAGTGATAGGTGAAGAACATTAATGAAAAAAGAACATGTTTTTAAGAAATAATTTGGATTAGACATTTTATAACAGTTCTTACTCTCTTGATCTATAATCATGTTTAAATTAATGAATTTTTAAATTTTGTTTATAATTTTTTAACAATTCGAAGCGACAGAACGAAATCCTAAAGAATTTCAAATATAGACTTAATAAAAATCTAAAATTCTGTTTAAGCAAAAAAGATATATACATATTTTTTTCTTTCAACACAAACAGAAGTAGCTGTATTAAAAAATACCTTTTCATGTATTTTATCTCATCCTAAGTTATACATTGTCAAAGTTTAGGATTTTGCTAAAATTTC